TTTAGCGATTAATTTGTTAACAAATGTTGACTCTAATTTAAATTTCATGTCGAGTATGGAGTTATTTTACACTTTACTACACTTATTGTGTATGAAATCTAATTTATGAATAATTTTCTATAGAAAGTGAGCTATTTTCTATAATGTTTTTACATCACTTAATCTTATATCTAAAAGTTACATCTATAAAATTAATATAAACAATGAGGTAAGCAAATGATAAGATATCATATCACATAAGCGAATGCTAATTGAATTATTATAATAATTTTGGCCAAAAATAGTATATCTTTGGACGAGTTTTTCGGAATTAGGAATCGAAAAGTGTTGGCAATAATGCAATTACAGTGAATTGAAAGCCATATAATATAGTGAATAATAGAGAATATTCTGAACATTAGCTCGAGTTATGAGCGCAAGTGTGGGTCGGACGACGCGGTAGAGCCACAGATCGCATGCGGCGGCGGCTCTAGAGTTGATGTGTTGGCCCACTAACCAAACATCACTTCAGATCCAGTGCTCGCTCTCCACACTAATGTATTTAGTGTTTCTTCACTCACTTTCTCTCGTTATTTCTCGTGTGATATTAAAAGCCACTGCGATATCAATAATTGTGTCGGTCTTAAGTGAACCATAAGTGGGACAAACATTTCTCAGCTACTTATCTGACATTCACGTTGTGTTTGCCCAGACATGTTACATGCCCATTGAAGCACTGCCAAACCATTGGTAAGAATATATTCCTGCTTACATATATGTTGTATGTTTTATTCATTTTAATAAAAATATCGATTATTTATTAAAAATTGATATATTTTTTATGCATCAAAAGAATTGAAAACAAATTTTAATCTCAAAAAAGCTCCGCAAAGAAAGTAATGATATTCTCAGCGAAACTTTAATGGAATTCCCTTTTATCTAATCTTTAGCTCAATATATACGGCATATATATATACAATATATATATATGAGCGAGAAATTGATTAAATAAGGGCTGACCAGAAATTCTTGCATTAAAATTAAGCTCTAATTATATTCAATTCGCTTTTGTTTAGTGTATAATTGCATTGAAATTTGAATTTTATGTTTGGCTTTAGAATTTGTATTCTGTTTTTAATTCAACATTACATTTGAGATAAGAGTTGTGTTTGTTTTGTAGTCCACTCTCTCAATAGTTTCAATATAATTACATCAACTGATTAACTAATTTTTTGTTTGTCTCATCTTTTTATTATTTAAATGAAACTCATAATGAATTTCATGTCAAATACACTGTGCGATAGTCTAATTGTTATAAATAATAGTGAGTTTCAGTGAAGGAATCGCCTAATCATATGAAACATTTCCAAAACTACTGTCGACTCGTTTTATGAGCGACTTTTGCGTTTATGAAGGGATAGGGGTTTGTGTGTAAATGCTTTACAAATCTAATGTAAATTAAGGTATAGTTCCGCCTGTTTTTTGATGAATCGCTTATTGTTAGAGTTGTTAAGAACATATTGAATGAATAGATAGGCAGACATACCATTCCGAACCATTAACAGCACATCATTAATGAATATTAAAGTGTAGACTCGAGAGTAAACGCAAATTGGATTCTTCATCCCATATATCAAACCGTTTACTCCATTTCCACCGAACCTTCTTATGTGCAGAATATTCTTATATAAAGAATAAACTTTTTAAACCTTATATTGCTTTAAGAATCAGAATCTCATTTAAATCTCTCAGCTCTCTCTCTCTCTCTCTCTCTCTCTCTTTCTCTCGTTATTTCCCGTGTGATATTAAAAGCCACTGCGATATCAATAATAGTGTCGGTCTTAAGTGAACCATAAGTGGGACAAACATTTCTCAGCTACTTATCTGACATTCACGTTCATACTGTAGGCGTATAGTGTATTGGGTCTAGAATTGGGTTTTGTGTGTCTTATCTCTTACACCGTTTCTCTCTCTCTCTCTCTCTCTCTCTCTCTCTCTCTCTACAGAATTAGAAATATGTTTCATTCCTAGCTCTAAACCATTTTTGATTTTGGTTTTGAGTTATAATTATGTTTGATTGCTTTTATAACTCAAAAACTACAACCACTTTTATTATAGCCAATTCCCCAACTTTGTTGTAGACATTTAACTAAAGGCTACAACAAAATAAATAGTGAATTAAAATGAATTCACGTTTTATTGTAGTCATAGATAAAAATTAGCGCTCCTTTTAATGGTCGGCTCTATACTCGGTGTATCGATAATAAACAAACCGAAAGCACATAATAGACAATAGGGTTAGACTTTTGTTGAGCTAAATTAGAGCCATAGCCGCCCTTATCTCTGGTTTGGATCACCAATATTTGTACGGTTTGTATGTTAGGCGCAAATTACAGTCGACGCGGCCCTCAATGTTTGGCAAAGGAGGCCAATGAAGGGCTGAATTGTGAATAAATGTCGACTTTTATCGACCCAAACACAACAACAGACCCACAAAACCGTTGATCGTATAGTTATTTCTCTTTACAATTTGATGTGTTGTCGAGAGAAACGGTGTAAGAGATAAGACACACAAAACCCAATTCTAGACCCAATACACTATACGCCTACAGTATGAGGAGACACTTTCCTGGCTCTCTCTCTCTCTCTCTCTCCAACTCTCACTCCCCTCTATCCTTTCAAACACTTTCAGATGTCATTGAAAACTCTAAAAAAGTTTAGTATCAAAATCCATACCATATAATGATTGCAATGCTTTTTTATGGCGTATCTCTCAAATGAAAAGCCATATATTTTGCACTCGCGTACAGTAGAATATGGCATACATTTCTGGCATACATTGCAATTGAGTTTTTTATTAGCAAATATCGAAAAGTTGGCAGTCTTTTGATGCCTACTTTTGATTCATATCTCACGCACGCCATGGCATCGACACAGATATGAAAAATAGTAGCAAATACTGACGAAAATACACAAAAAACGCAAATTCTTGGCCTCTATTTTGATGTAAAATATTAATGCATATCTAAAATGTTTGATTGAATGCAAACATGTATTCATTGCATCGGAAAAACGCTCCGAAAAAAATTAGCGATTCTTATATATTCTTGCGGTTGACTATAATAAATAGTATGAGACTGTATACAGATGTAGATATACCAGTGCTCAGGCAATACTGTGCACACGTATGTGAAGTCAACATCTGTTTTGTCTGTCATTTGAGCTCAATTTTATTCGGACCACAAAATCTCAGTATCTTTTTATGTTAAATACACTATAAGTGAGAATAAATGCCAACTTTTATTCACACATCTATTGAATTGAAAACAATAAATTGTTCTCAAATGTTATTATTCTGTTCCCTCTCTATATTTACACTGAATAGTACAGAATATTCTGTATATTCTATACAATTCAATTAAAATTTTATATTCAAATGACATTTATGTCGTTTCGGTGGTAATTATATTTTATCTGCAAAAGTGTAAAGCAAACGGTAATTCATGGCTTTAATTAGTAGTTAAATATTCAATTCATGTTTCATTACTTTCAATTAGTTATTATAACTTTTTGTTTCAATATAAAGGTTTATTACAAATAAATTATTTGCCTAAAGTATTTCAACCAAAAATTTGTAATGAATACAGAAATACTCGAGTCGTCCCTAATTTAATTTTAATTAAAAGGTTTTTTGGACATTACTTTTGTTTGATATGAATGTATACATAATATTTACAAAAAAATATAAGCTTAGCTCATGTTATGTGAAATTTAAGGAATTCTGTGAATTCAACATAAATGAATTTATTGTCTGTCAATCACTATTAAATGCAATTCCTTTGAATTTGTCATCAAATGAAATAAACAAAAAAAATTTATGTCTATCTAATATTAACGTTATTATGGATTCACTTCCAAATTCTAATAGAAAACTTATTACGAGAATTACAAATTATATCACTTAAACAAAGTTTTTAAATAAATAATAGTTCAGTAAATGGAATAAATTATTTAAGCCAAATAAGAGAAAAATATACAAAAATTACTTTTTAATAAAAGAAACCTTACATTTTATAATAGATTATAAGTGGAAATAAAACTCTAATAAGTATTGTTTAACTAGTAGAATAATACACAAAATGATGTCTCATCTCAAGTAACTTAACATAAGTTTAGCGTTTTATTCAAAACATTTTTATACACTCTTATTCTGGTATAAAGATTTAAATGTGTTTTGAATTTTAAAGTATCCTTAGATCACAATCAAACGATTTAATACAAGTCTTAAGTCGGTTTATAGTGTATGGCAACAGAATAGCTCGTAATATAAAAGCACAGAAAAAGAGTAATAAACTAATCTTCATCTCCACTCAAATTTAAGCTCATTTTCCGAGACTTTGTCTTAAAAATTAAAATAATTGCAAACATAATGCACAGAATATTCTGTAGTATTTTTTGGTATTTTGGTTGTTGGGGGAAATAGTGGGCTCTAAAAAGATATGCATTCATTAGCAACTTATATTTAACAAGTGATTCAACCTATTGTTACAAAATTTTGAATGCCTTCCCATTAAGTGCATAGTCATCTCAAGAATATTAATGTAAGGCAAAACCATTTTCACATTTGTTTAGTTCAATTCAAGTGCAGTCGAGTATAAATTGATAGAAAAATACAGAGAAGCAAATGCAATGGAAACGAGAGAAAATAGACTCTAACTTATTATTTATTTGACACTGAAACTGCAAAAAACAAATGATTTTCGTAAAACAAATACTCTTATAATAGAGAATATTCTGTGTAGTGCTGTACTGAATATGTGGTACAATAGAGAAAGCAATTTTCATTTCTCATTATACATAATGCGAGCCAACATACAGTAATTGTGGCAAATATTCATTAACCGGGAATTGTATTTCATTTTTTCACAGATACACCAAAAATATAACACATTAGCGTACAAATAAAGTGCATTTACAGCTCACATCCAAAGCACTTATAGGTTTGGTTCGCCTCTAAAGACCTGAATTGCATTGTTTTCGATATAAAGATTGGATGAAAAATAGGAGACTTAATGGAAGTGAGAATATTGTCAACGGACGAAGACCATCAAGGTATGTATGGCTACATTCTGACATCCATATCCATAATGCCTGTGTCTGTGCGGTGTGTATGGTGTACGCCGGCATGGCGTTCAACCTAACGGTGATGTGGGCCACGACTTCAGTAGTGATCTCTTAAGCTTCTTATTTACGACAGACGCACAGGAAATCGGAAATCCGTTTCAAATCCGTTGGGAACGAGTCTTATAGTAATAGAGCGAACATATTCTGTTGTGTTTCCACCAGTTCCTCACAATTGCACTGCTATTGGGCTATAGGTCTTAGGCTGGAAGGGCTGCCAAAGGCTTTTCTGTAGTCTTCAATACTAGTTAATTAAGCGTTCGTTTAGGAGTTAACCGATAACTCGTTAACCAGTATTTAGCTCTCAATTCCTACCTCTCATGGCATACACTACCAGTCGATCATCTCTTTTCATATTAACCTCGCATTCAGTCAAAAGTTGTGTTTTTTATTTGAATCTGTTTGAGCGAAAAGCCCTTAGACTACCAGTGCCTGTCATAACAGTGTAGTTCTGTCCAAATAATATAAAATTCTGTTCGCTTTGTTGAGTGAAAAGAATCCATTCATATATATATGATATACAGTTCCACTCGTAATACTGTTCCTACAGTTGCCTCACTCACACTCCATGTGACTGTAATGTATCGACTGGTGATATGAAAAAAGTTTTTGTGTAACAAATATTTCTCGATATCGATCGACACTACTTGTTGCCCGAAGGGAACTCCTAGTGTATCGTTCCATCACTATATCTCTATGGCATCTGTATATCATCTTCTGAACAGATATATCATTGCACTCAATGTGTCTGCCATTAGGGGCACAGACTCTTTTGTAAACACACAGCCCCTCGAAGCCAAACCAAAAATCAATATTTGCTTTTCGCTCCGATTTTCTCAATCTTTTCTATTATTTAGTATTCGGTGACGACTACTGTTCCGGTTATGTCGACCAATACAACAAATGGAATACAGGCTTCTCCTGTCCCACGAAGTCTAATGAAGAGGCCGTCTATTGCTGCGGAACTCCTACTTATAAGTACTGCTGTACTCGTCGCAGTCAATCCGTTACCACACATACCAATCATCCGACGCGGACTCAACTCGAGTATGTCTTCTCTCTATCACTAGTTTTTTATTTTCTTTTCATTCTTTCTGTTTGCACACAAAGTCAGAGAGAGAGAGAGAGAGAGAGAGAGGGGGAGAGAGAGAGAGAACGATCTCTCATTAGAAAAAGATTAGTTCCGTTCAAAAGACTATAATTTGTTTTATCGCTAAAGAAGAAAAAATTCTTACAATAAAAAGAAAGTCAAACTAAAAACACTCAATAAAGTCATAGCGAAGAGTCAGTGATATTAACTATTAGAGTGAAAAACCATAACATTATTTAATGCTCACTATTATTACCACTCTTTTCGCAGCCCTCGGATACTGCTGAAGATCGTAGGCCTGACGTGCATCGTATCGGTGTTCCTAACGATCCTCACGTGTTATGTCTGCAAACGGTATTGGAAACGGAGTGACACCCGAGACAATCACGTGTACCGCGTCTCGTGCAACACATCCGCCTCTCCGCACGTCTTTCCACTCGAGTCTTTCCAACCGCTGAATCCAAATGCCTTTTTCAAGTCACCCGAACACGTGGCCAGTGCTCTGTGCGGTGACCTATCGGTGCTGTCGGGTTCGCACCTACAGCCCACTCACCTGCGAGCGGTCATCGCCTCGTCGAGGGGAACGGCCGCCTCGGCAGCCATACCGGCCCTCTGTTCATATCAACACAACCAGTCTGTGCTGCGACAGCAACAGCGTAACCACGAGCCGCCACCTCCTTATCAATTGAGTGTCATATCTGGTAACTCGACCACAACTGGCAACGCTGTCAGCAGCACCAGTAGCAGCACCAGTAGCACAGCGTGCGGTGTCAGCGGTGTTGTCAGTGGCGGAAGCAGTCATACAAATGTCAATCCAAATCCAAACACAAATAGTATTAACAGTAATAATGAGACGACAAGAGAAGTGAATAGCGTTTTGTCAGATTCCGAGTGTAACGCCATTCACGAGGCGTCTAATACTGAGGTAAAGATACCATTATCTTCACATAATAGTCATCCACCGCAACAAAGTAGCTCTTCTGTCGATATTCATCCACACCATCAACAAAGACATCACACTCTCAGGCGAATGTCTCAATGATAACCACTTCCCCCTTACATATTAGTTATGATTATTATATTATATACATCTCTATATTAATACAGTGTATGAATTGAGTTATATGTCATTACCACACCACCACCAAAACCGCACGTATTTTATCTATATTTTAATGATTAGTTTCCACTTTATGTTTCAGTTTTACTAATTGTTAGAAATATTATATAATTATAGTGATTATTATGATTGCTATTATTATTGATGAAAGACATGCAGAGTTGAGCTAAAGAGTCCATTATCTTTATATAATAATTATAATTGAATTTTATATAACAAATGAAATATATTTACAGTAAAGTATACAACAAGAGTAAAAACCAAAAATCTATAATAAATTCACTGAATTAGACACTAATGTTATAAATATATTAATGTATTGTAAAATAGCGAAACAAATCGCATAACAAATGCATTTAGTATTCATGTTATTATATATATATTGAAAGAATCTATAAATATAATAGAAAAATAACTGTTTTTTGTTGCAATAGTTCACACAAAATATAATGTAAACTTTATTTAATAAAGTTTGACAAAAATCATCTGAACAGCGATTTTTGACGCCAAATATTGCTCTAAGGCTTGACCTCTCAAATGGCTTTTCATTTTCACTACAAAAGAGTGAAAATTCGTTTTTATAATATGAAAAAAGCTTTAGATATAAACACACCGTATAGTCAATACTCCCTTAGTTTACATCATCTGTTAGTGTAATGTAAAGTGAAACTCGATTCTAATATTTTTTTGCTGATAATATCGTAAAGTTTATAGAAAAATGTTTTGTCGGTTCACACAAGAAATGCAATCATTTTTTGCTTTAGTTCTTATAGCTTATCAAACAGTGATTTGCAGATCATTTAATGTCATATTTCTTGACATTTTCCTTTTTTCGGGCTAACAGTCGGACACATTAGTAATACATTCACATTGTGTGGACAGTTGTATTGAGGGAAGAGTATGGTATCAAATAGAATGACATTAGCTTATGAATCGCTAGTGAATAGGCACCTACTGTAGGGACATGGAGTACGGAGAGTGAATGAGCCGTACACATAGACATTAGGCATTGTGTGCCGGGGCTTACGTATGGATTACCGGAGGGAATAACGCGTTTCACATTTGATGATGAAAAATGAAGTCGTTTCGCGTTTTCGCCAATTTTTCACCACATCTCTGGGCATTAACCGGCGCTCCGATTGTCAGAAATCTTATATCACATCCTCTCCGTACGTATCCATCGCCTCACAACTCACTCTCGCTATTCACCGAATATTAGGGAAGGGAGAGAGAGAGGGAGGGAGAGAGAGAGAGAGAGACTGGAAAATACATGCAATGACTGAGATATAAGCGCTCAGAAAGACAGACATAAAATCATAGCAGCGATGGAGTCACTCGAGAAACAAGTAAAGTGTGTTTCCATCACATCACACATCACATGATGAGGCCTTACAATAAAACCCCGGGGAGTCTATACTAAAGACATACAGAGACACCAGAGAGAGAAAGCAAAAAAGAGAGACGTAGAGAGAGAGAGAGAGAGAGAGAATGAGTGAGTGTTTAAAAATTTCGCTCTCTTTTGGCTTTTACTTAAAGAATATTATTTAGAAAAATGAGTTCTCATTTCAACTGTTTATTTGCTTTTCTATTATGAAAAGAGGATTTATTTGTTATCTTTTCAAATAGTAAGTCATAGATCTATAAGAGAGAAGTTGAAGGAAATGATGCATTTTATGGCTACATCTTTCTGATGACCACCGGTCCATAAACGAGACGACATGTCAGCGCTTTCACATACCGTTCCACTAAATCTTCAGTCTACACATACCAGCGCTCACAGGCACTGGCAGTCGACACACATTTCTCAATGTCTTATAATAGTAAACATCGATTCAGATTAAAAGTGGAGAGAAACCAATGAAAGTCGATAGCGTCGGCCAGTCATTGAATTTCATGGCAAAAGTCTCGTGCATTAAGTTATGGACGGGGAGGGCATGGGAGGGATAGGGAGATAAAAACAAGTTAAGCCTCGGCTCTTCAGTTCAACTTATACTTCATTAAATCTCTCCCAACTTTCTCTCTCTCTCTCTCTCTCTCTCTCTCTCTCTCTATTGAATACCAAAAAATGGATGTAATATTGATTTATGCATTCCTTTGCGAACATAAAAATAGTAAATCCATAATAAATTCATTCGTTACACAAAGCCATTGAGCCTAACCTTTAGCTTACACTCTCATCCCATGACTTTCCCGTATAAATCTATAGTTACGGTATTTATACATAAAAGTTGAGCCCATTTTTTAATGCAAAAACTTGCAACTTATGAGTTGATTATGTGTGGAGAAAAATGCTGTAAATATATATTCAATACTACGATAAACCTTAAGATGTGGTGTTATGTTGAATGAGATTTTGTGTGGAAAGAGTGCTAACATTACCGGCATTTGACTATATATTGAAATATATTGTGTAATAAATAGCCGTTAGATTAGAGCAAGAATTTTAATATTACAAAGAAATTAGTTTTCTATCTAATAGTATAAAAGAAATAAATTGCATTGAATTTAAATTTTTGAAATTTTATTTCACTATTAATATTAAATAAATAAAATATTTTCCTCACTTACGACAGAAATTCATACAAACATTTTGTAATCGTGTGAATAATTGTTTAGTAAATGTTTGGTTTATTTATGATATTAATAATAAAAAATTTATTTTAATAATAGTTGTATTAAAATTAATTTGCTTTCCAGAAAAAACAAGAATTTCCATTATATATCATGGCATTCATCATACAGTACACAGAAACAGAAAACTGTTACAAAAGGAACTTATTTTAGTTTTGAGTAAATTTTTTAACATAAAAATACTATTTTTAGTAATATTCTGCTCTCATTTTTCGTATCAAATTCAAAATTATTAAAAGGCATTATTTTAACCAAAAAAATGATGAAACGGAAAGTTGTCTAGAGAGAGAGAGAGAGAGAGAGAGAGAGAGAGAGAGAGAGAGCTGAGTGTATGAGCTCTAGTGCCAGAATGACATCATTTTAGTGCACGAAAGAGGCTTTTAAGGGTAAGTTTTGTGTGCATTTTATGCTAATGTTATTACTAGTTAAACATTAAATAAAATTTAGTCTATAATGAGTCCAAAGATGTATGGATTAGTTTCTTAAATAAATTATTGATTTAATGCGGATAGACTTAATGAATAAAAGGTATTAAAATAAATGTATTTTATATTAGTGTCTAGCGAATTAGGTATTCATTTAAACTCTCATCGATTAAATAAAAACCAAAAATTATCGGCTAATATATGACTGAATATATATTCTTAAGATAAGTACAGAATCTCTAGTCTTTAATTTCAATTAATATTCATCACAAATATTCATATAATAGGAGGCATTCTTTGCCTGAACTATAATTTGATGTCTGAAATACCAAAACCTTATTATTATTATTATTTGGAAACTTGAATTCGTTTATATATATCATGTTTAATGAAATAGTTTTCCATTCAAACCCAAAAATATTAATTGGATTTCGGATTCAATCGAAATATGATATTAACGTAATATTTCTATTATATATTATCATAAATATATTGAATCATAATAAGGCATCGCGAATATGAATAAAGATTTCGTATATAATGTAATAATGACCTGAATTCTGGTGAATAGAAAAATAGTTTGAATGCATTGATATATTTGACAGAAATGTTTAATAGATATATCAGCTATGAATTGATCCGCAAAAAAGCGTTAATCAATATATTAATGTTTTCGGGTGTAAATGCCTTCAATTATCAAACCTTTAATAAAGATATGACAAACAATATATGAGTTTTAGATAATATGTGGAGAGAGAGAGAGAGAGAGAGAGAATGTATGTTTGAATGCAATATCTGGTGAGTATGTATCGAAAGAGTGGAGAATATTCTTGTGAAACACAGCAATCATACGATGAAAACGTATGGTTTGTTTGCCCAACACTTGGCGTGAAAGTGAAATAAATTGGTGCGGAATTGTGTGTAAACGGTATGCATTAAAATTATATTATAATGTAATACTAAGCTGTCACCAAAATATGTGCACCACTTAATAATTTCAATCCCATCTCACTTTTCTCTGTCTCTCTCGCCTTTCCTTTCCATTCAGTGTCTGTATTAAGAGTTTTGGGGCTAAAAACAAATCACAAAAACCATTGCATTAACGCATAAAAAGATAGAGACATAGAAAGCCCTACAAAACACTCGAAATTCACTCAAATAGTAATAATAATATATATATTTTATGTCACAAAATCGTTTCGCCTTTTTCTATAAAGTCATGCGATATAAAATCCATGACTAATAATAATACTAAAATAATAATCTCTAAAATGTTACAAATCTATTGTTCATGAATTGAATTTTTAAGAGTATTTTTAAAACTTATTTCATGTGAGTGTTAGTCGTTTTTAAGCTAAAAATTCATACAATACTTTGGGTAGAAGTTAATCCTCAGCGGGAATTGTGCGCTGCCTTTCCCTCCCAAACACATAACACTCTATAAGAAAGAGACTACTATTTTGAGAGAGAGAGAGAGAGAGAGAGAGAGAGAGAGAGAGAGCATAAGAGATGGTGAGATAGCGAGATGGAGACGCATGTAATACAGATTTATTGCATGTGTATTAGATGAGAGTGAAGGCATACGACACTCAAATGAGCAATTTGTGATGTATTGTATGGTACCTACAAAATGAACACAAAATCAAATTGTATTATTCATTCAAACACAATAAATATGATGAATACATTTCATGTGTGGCGGAAGATCTCTCTCTCTCTCTCTCTCTCACACACACACACACACACACAGTTTTGTTACCTTTTGTATAAATATATTAAATGAAATCTATTTATAATAGAAAAATAAAAATGTGAGATTTGTTAGAAATAATTTGCGGGTTTGGAATTCAAACTTTTGAATATCAATGCATTTTGGCAAAAGTGTTATCTCTGTCAGTGAATGCATGTATAGTTACGCCACTACTTTGGTTAGTCTAATGTCTGGTGATATCGTTATACTGTTTAATAATAAGCATTCGCTTCAATGACTTCAAAAATAAATTGAATGACATTTCGTTATATTTTTGTTGGCCTGACATCTGAGATGAGCTCTCAATGCAATGGGAAAGGCGTTTCGGATTCTCTAATATCGCTGATGCGACCCAACCATCACCAGCCATACA